CTTGTTGAAGAGGATGAGTAATAGTCAATTAAAACTTTTACAGTACGTACTGTATGTTTGATCCCTTCCTGGGGGATGTGCACCAATACTCTTGGTCCTTGTTTTATATCAGAGAGAAGGTTGTTTAACATTGTGTAATATCTTTCATGCTGATATGTAATAATTAGTCAAGTTTGTGTTTGTCCCAGATGTACCAGTACAAGAATTATAGGATTTTTTAATAGTAATAAAAACCACACATCAAGTATTTTATTGTCCCCACCAACCTGGGAAGAGAGGGGTTTAAATGTTTTTGTTTGTTTTTTCTCTGTGATAACTTAAGCAAATAGCAATGGATTTTTAACTGACTATTTTAAGTTGATATATCACAAGAAGATCTTAGAGAGTTGGATAATCAGAATTTTCTGTCATTATTCTTTAAGAGTTATGACCCCTTGGACTTGGTCCATCATGAGTACGTAACAGACTCATTACAGTAGAACCCCGCTTAACGCGGTCAATTGAACCCACAGGGTACCGTGTTAAGTGAAAACCGCGTTAAGTGAACAACAGAACATATGGGATTAATTCCAATAGAGACTGGCCCGACCCCCAAACTCCACTTTTTGACGACACACAACTAAGTTGTAGTAAAAATATTATCTTAACTTTATGATGGTATGCACACACAATTAATAATTACGAGAAATATCAATAATATTAGGTTTTTTAACACTTACATTAGTAGAAAAGATGGCTGGGCACACGGGGATGGGGGGTTGGTTCCGAGGCAGAGGGCAGATTATTGGCACTCACTTGTATCACTATCCACCACAGAGGCTTGCAGGGCCTCTTTGTCAAACCCCTCAAAGTCCATATAAGTCTATACCCTCACTATAATTATCACTATCACTGACTTGGGCTGGCTGTGGCGGGTGAAGAACTCGGTAATGTTTTGATGACTGGGCGACCTTGTGCGCATCGTGCCCGCGCCGCTTCCCGCGTATATGAGTAGATGAACCGCGTGAAGTGAAAATTCAGTTCTGATGAGGCACCGCTTATATGCGAAATCGCGTTAAGCGGGGTAATACTGTATATTATAAAGTCAGGCAGCACTGTTGCTGTCCCCAAAAAGGTGAATAATACTGTAAATTAAAAAGTGAGAAGAGCAGGTAAGGTAGACTCTTGGCTGTGAATGAGGAGCATGGGCAAAGTGAGTAAGAAGAGGGATAATTAAGGTTTATGTCCGAGTTTTATTAGTGGCCGGACATAAGAAAAACCAATAGTTAAGGAAAAAGAAAGCTAGAGATTTGGATGAGTTGCTGATAGACTCTCAGAATGAATTAAACATTGAGTATCATATATATTATTTTATTTTAATTCAGTACTGTTTGTCAGCTGAAACTTTGCACTGTGTAGAAAACAAAAATATTGTAAGACCAGAAAGAAGATAAATATCACAATTGAACCTTGTACAGTAGTTGGTTGGTTTAGTGTAGTTTTCATCTAAGTTTAGTATTATATATACTGTAATGCTCAAGTTATTTAACCCCTCGTGTACGGGATCCCCTCTGGGCTGAATAAAATCGTCTGATGGTAGCAAAATAAAATACTGTATGGCATCCCCATAGTGAAGGGGTTAACCAGGATACATACAGTGACCCCTCGTTTAACGAACGCCTCGGTTAACGAAATTTCGGTTAACAAACTGCCTTCCATAAGGATCTTCAATTCGGTTAACGAATTTCTTACGAACCGACCTCAGCATGTTTTCGCTTGCACTGACCGGGCAACCAGCTTTAGTATCAGTCCGCCAATACATTAATCGGTTCTAGGGCTTAAATTCCTTACTATTTTAGTAAATATCAAGATGTTTATACTATTCAATAATTTTAAAAGTATAATATCCAATTTTTTAGTCATTTTAACAATTATTGAACATAATTGAAGGTAAAGTGACTAGTTTAATGTGCGGCATCCAGCCTCTTAACACAGCAAACAGGCGTTAGTCTCTCTCTCTGTTTTCACTGGAAGTAACATCTTGCTTGAGACTCTCTTCAACTAAATGCTTTTTTTCTGTGTTTCCAAGCAAATTATTGGTCATTTTGAAATATATTTTACATATTGACAATATATAATGCAGTGCAGTGTTGATTTAAAGAAAATAATCTTGAAATACACCAAGAGAACTAAAATTTTATGGGTGAAATGGCGACATGGGGTGACTTCTCTTCCACCCCAATGACTTCTCTTCTTCCTTCTCCTCCACCCCCATTCTAATTCCCATCATCATCATCATCATCCAGGAGCCTTCTACATACACACCTCAAAGTAAGTGAACTTTTCTACCATTTTTGTTGAATTTAGGAAATTTTCGGTGAGCTGGAACCAATTACCCAAAAACCCCATTGAAACAATGGTTTCGGTTAACGAACTTTTCGGTTAACGAACGACCTTCTGGAACGGATTGAGTTCGTTAAACGAGGGGTCACTACAAAAATAATAATATGAAATAGGCAGTTTTATCAGTAAAAACAATTAAATTCTAACGTGAATAGCGATGCTGCTCATTATGTTCTGAATGTTATCAAGTGATGCTGAATATAATCCATAAATTTTAATATTTTTCTACTGTATTTCAACTATGAAGGGCTGGGCTTTTTATTTTTATGAACTCTTATGTATATAAATCTATGGCTGATATACTTACCTCTGTAGGCTCTGTTGCCGAAGTCATGTTTGTATTGTGCTCCACTATCTTGCAGCAGGACGCATCATATGTAAGGGGAAATAAAGATGATGATAATACTGGTGGATTTCATAATTAGTTATTCACCTTTTTCTTTGCACAACCTCTATGTTCTGCCCCTCCATGGGTGTCTTCTGAGTACTGGGCCAGGATGCTCTCACCTGGTTTAGGAGTAACTTTGCTGGTATGGATTTGTTATCATAGAAGCAAGTTCAATTAGGTATACAGGTACAAGTGAACTGGCCCTTTAACCGTTGATTCTTGATGAGTTAATGGAGCTGGAACATGTAAAAGTATATTGGGTTTTAGTAATGAAACCCAACTGTCCTGTCTGTATTTATTAAGAATATATATTATATACAGTTCCAAGTGTATATTAGGGTGTGACCATTGCCCTCCAAAAATAAAAAAATGGTCCTACACTGCTGTTCAAAGTTTTAGTGTTGTGTATTTATCTAGGAAATACCCCTGTAAATTTTCTTGGAGATTGGTGCATGTTTGAGCTAGCACCGTCGGCTCTACAAAATAACAAGGAATATTATTATCTAATGAACAAATTTAGTGGAATTTCTTTTATTAGACTTATAAGCAGGGCCGTCCCTAGGAGGGTGCGGGGCCTGGGGCAACTCAGCCACTGCGGGGCCCCAGATTATGCGGTCAGAGGAACCCACCCCCACCAACTCCCATGGGATTGTCACTATGGATGGTAAGGTCACGGTTGCTATGGTGGCATAAGCCGTCAGGTCAGATTAACCAGTCAACAGGTAATGTGTCCGAGGTCACTTTGTCTAGTGCTAGGCCCCGCGGGGCCCCAGGCGGTCACCCCTGTTCGCCCTCCCTAAAGGACGGGCCTGCTTATAAGATATACTAACACCAAGCAAATGATCGATCATATCAATCTTAATACCCCTAAAACAATATTACAGATTAATACGAAATACAATAATCCCAATAATTGCATTTCTAGGTTCAAGACCCATTTCTCTCAATTGGCGTACAATGAAAAAAAGAAATACTACTACCCCGCAATGCCTGGAGTGTTTGAGGAGCGCCAGCAGGAGATGGCAGACTTCTTCCGTGGATCTCTAGCCCAACCATTTACACGTGGCGACTACAAGGAACTGGTAGAGCTTTGTCTGCTGCTTATAACTAAAGGATCCGAGCCAGTGAACTTCACGATGGTCTGCCCCGGCACACTTCACAAAGCAAGGTGGATGGCTAAACTGCTTTATACCCTCAAGATTGTTCTTTTGTCAGGCCAGATCAAAGAGCAGTTTCCCAAAGCCGAGGTTGCGACAAAGCCAAATCAGCACGTTAGAACGGTTTGCTGTGCTCACAGTCGCTGTTTATGTCCCATGGTGGATTGTTTGCCCCATTCCAGCAAGTGCGCCACTGAATGACTTGAATTTGGTCGAAACCTTGGCTGAATTTGCCCCATATGACGCCACTTTAATTGACAAAGCACGTGTGGCACTCGGTAGACACACTTGGTACCTAATTGAGGAGTTGGCCTGACTGGCTTTGTTCTCATCCCAAGTACAAGAAAGGACAAAAGAGGAGATGAGGAAGGCCCTTCTTTGCCATGAAGGCACTGAAGTTACTAAGAGAGTGGGGCTCAATCATGGGGGCTATGGAAAGCCATATCTTCCCCCTGTCCCAGAAAGTGGCACTGCCCTGGTGGACCTAATTGGGCCTGACTCAAGCCAGTTCTTCACCATTTTAGGCATGCCCTATCAGTTTCTCCACAGTCCAGCCAGTGAATGGGCGGATCATGACGACTACCTGAACATGAAACGGGTTGTGGACAAGCTTCAGGTTGTCAATGAGGCTGCAGAGCGTGGTGTAAAACTTTGCCATGACTTTTTTAATGTTGTCAGGGATGAGGAGCGCTTTCAAGAAGTCCTTCAAGTAGTTGAAAATGACAGACTCCGCGTTCCTAATCAGCGCAAACGATCATCTGTTTCCCAACACAAATCATGGTTTCTTGCTCTAGAGAAATAATACCTTGTGAATATATGATAAAACCCCTTAATGTACCATGAGAGAATAAGAATGATTAACTTTTTTGTGTTGGTGATAACAGCTTTTAATTAGGACAGGCAAATGATGTGTTAATATCCCTATGATGGTTGTGTAATCTCATATATAGGCGCGTATGCCATATAAGCAAAATCGCTATTTTTCAAATTGCTGGTGCAAAATAGGAAAGATTTGCTTTAAATTAAAACATTGTCTTTAATTATGGGTGTCGCTTTAAATCAATAATCTTAAATTGAATCTCTTTAAATCAACATTTTACTGTATATTATGTACAATGTTCAACTTGGAAGATACTGACTTATAATAACAAAACAAAAATATCACTGCCAGAATTAACACAATAGTGGGAATGGTTAAACTTGGTATTGCAAATGCCCGTGCAAAATAAAATGGCAAATGATCTTCGAAATTAGCAAACTGTGACTCTTTCAAGTAAGAAATAACTTTCAACTTCTCTGAGACAATATTGAGTTTACTTAAAAAGTACTTAAATTAAGGACTTGAAACAATTGAATTAAATCTGATGTAAGATTTAAATTCAATGCAAAATGCTGATGAGAAGGCAAGGTCTTCAACAAACTACAAGTTATTTCACAGTAATCCGGAGCCTTATAATAACCTTTCACAAATAACTGTTTACCACCATCTTGGCACTTTAAAATGACATTAGTTTCATCAGGAAAGAAAAAATATTGCATATTATGCAGATGCTCGTGAAACACAGTTTTCCTAGAAATTGGCCTATACTGTAACTACATTGTGTTACCGCTGTGCATACGTTAGTTCATATGACTGTCAATTCACATATCCCTTCTGAAGCAGGAATAAATGTGAATACATAGGCTGGACATATGTGTAAATGTAAGTACATGTACTCTGGAACAGGATGTGTATTACACTGTATGTAGCAGATTAATATGTAAATTACTGTGAGGAGAAGTGAATTTATGTCAAGACTGTACTTATGAAGGAAGTTAACATAAATGAACTCCTGGTCCATGACCTCCAGCACGAACCATAGAGGACAGGAAAGAACTATATGTAGCAGTGCCCGTCACGGCTCCAGGGTCGGCAGGATTATTACGACTTGTTTTTACACTGAAATTTTTCCCAGCAATCTTTGGGCCTGTCACTTCAACTTCAACAATATGCCAATCTGTCAGTCTGAAATATAAGTTAAGAATTATTGTAATTTACAGCACTGTACATTTATTTGTTCTCTTTATCAGTCTTATTTCATTTACAAGTACACTGTGTGGAACAGATGCCCAAGTGTGTGTTAGTTTTAAATTTTAATTTGAACACATTTTTTTGGGTGTTACTAAATCTGAAGGTTAAAGGAAAGTATTCACTGAGATGTAGCAGCAATAAAAACAATTAAACACCACTGTACAGTCAACCCTCACTTTACGCGGTCCCATATTCCGCGTTTCCACGTTTACGCGGTACCCTGCCGAAACCCGGGATGCTCAGATTCCGCGGTGCGTGTACCCCTTTACGCGGAGAGTGTCCGGCTCGACGCTATTTTTAGATTCGCCCCTCCCACCTGCTCCCGCCTCCGCCTGGGCAAGCCGCGCGGTAAGGTTGCGCAGTGCATGTGTCTGTTGCGTTATCAGTGACGTCATATGACGTATCGGACTGTGATTGGCCATGCATCCCTACCTCCCTCCGCTGCCAGCTGTAATTGGTTTAAAATAATATGACGTGTCCACCTGGGGGAGGGAGGGAGGGAGGAAAGACGACGCTTGACCTAGCCGCGGCAGTTTCATCCCTCCAGGCCACACCGTGTAATCGTGCATCCATTGTTCTGTAAAATGGCTTCCGCCAGACCACCGCCCCCAGAGAGAAACCTTTCCTTGCCTGGACCCAGCCGCCCTAAGCCAAAGAAGACACGACGTTCCTTAAGCTACGAGGTGAAGTACAAGATCATCCAAGAGTTGGAGAAAGGAACAAGACAGGTTGATTTGGCGCGCCAGCATGGTGTGAACGAATCTACGATCCAGACGATAAAGAAGGATGCAGCCAAGATAAAGGAGCACATGAAGATCACAAAGTCTACAGGTGCTTCTATGATCAAGTATTTCCACAACCAGGTGCTTCTCAAGACGGAAAAATTACTTGTGAGCTACTTGGTGCGTCAGGCACGACGGAACATGGCGGTGGACACGCGCTCTGTTAAGGAGTACGCACGTGAACTGTCTGCTGCAGTGTCACGAAAGATGGGAATTACAGAGCCCAAACCCTTTAATGCTTCCCCTGGGTGGTTACAGAAATTTAAGATAAGGAACAAGATCACCAATATCAACATTGGTGGTGAAGAAGCTAGTGCTGACCGTGTTGCGGCTAAGGAATTTCCTCCGTTTTTACGTGAGATTATGGAGGAAGGACAGTACACCGACGACCAGGTGTTTAACATGGACGAATCTGGTCTTTTTTGGAAAAAGCTACCTTCCAAGACCTTCGTTGTGAAGAATGCCAGCAAGATTCGGGGCCAGAAGTTGCAGAAGGAGCGCATCACCGTCCTGTTTACCACCAATGCCTCCGGTACCTGTAAGCTCAAGTTATCGGTGATCCACACAGCCCGCAAGCCGCACGCCTACAAGAGCATGGACATGACCAAGCTAAATGTCCACTGGCTGACCGCACGTAAGGCGTGGATGTTCTCTACACTGTCCCTCTCCTGGTTTGATGACTGTTTCGTTCCCGATGTAAAGAAATTCTGTGAACAACAGAATGTGCCATTCAAGATTTTGTTGCTGCTGGACAACGCACCAGGACACTCGCCCCTACTGTTAGATCGTCACACCAATGTAAAAGTGGTCTTCCTTCTTCCCAACACTATGTCTATATTACAGCCCATGGACCAAGAGTTAATCTGTAATGTAAAAGCTGCATTCTCTACTAAAAAATTCAAGCTCCTGAACGACTACACCACCACCAGGGAAAAGTTGCGTAACCTGAGTGACACCACCACCGATAGCAAGAGCGAAGACGACGAGGATCAACAGTTGGCAGAGCAACAAGTACTTTTCAAACAATTCTGGAGAATATTCAACATCAAGAAAGCTGTGGACTTCTTGGTGGAGGCATGGGATCAGCTGTCTGTAGCAACTGTTCGTCACGCATGGAGACGTGTTGCAAGGCATTCCGGCCGTTAGGCAGAGTCAATCTGTGACTGGTGAGGTTCAGACTGTTGCAGTAGCAGTGGACCTTGCCAGAGAAGCTGCGCAGAGTGTTACAGCTGCAGGCTTCTCCGAGACCACCAACAACGACATCCTGGAGGTGATAAGGGATCCTGATGTGACTACCGACGAGATGGTAGATGATGATGATGACATCAGTGAAGAGGCAGGTGGTGCGTCATCCCAAGAAGAACACTGCTTATCCCATAGTAATGTTAGGGGTGCCATCGAGTGTATCGAGAAAGTCAAGCTCCTCCTTTCCGACGACCCTGACGCAAACAGGTATGAAATCTTCACTACCCAGCTGTTGCAGACTATGGAGCCCTACTTCAAGGTTTATCACGACAACATAAACACCAGCTGTCAGCAAAGCATAACAGAGTTCTTCGCTCGCAACCCACCACAGCCAGCCCAAGCCAGTGATAGTGACAAAGGTAGAGACAGTGAAGATGACTTTGAGGGATTTGTCAGGGAGGCCCTGACAAGTGTGGATGACAGTGATGGTGACTCACCTGAGGGCCAGTAGCCTGCCCTCTGCCTCGGAACCAGCCTCCATCCCCGTATGCCGACCCATCTCTTCTACTAACGTAAGTGTTAAACCTAATTTTTAGTTTTCCTAACCTAACCTTTATTTTTCCTAACTTAACCTTTATTTTTCCTAACCTAACCTCTTCTATATTAATTGTGTGTGCATACCATCGTAAAGTTAAGATAAAATTTTTACTACAACATAGTTGTGTGTCGTCAAAAAGTGGAGTTTGGGGGTCGGCCCGGTCTCTGTTTCAATTAATCCCATATGTTATGTTGTTCACTTTCCGCGGTACCCTGTGGGTTGTATTAACCGCGTAAAGTGAGGGTTGACTGTACTGTACTTCCAAAGATTTTCTTGCTGTAAAAGCTCTTACCTGTGCCATAGTTATGAATCTTGAAAAAGAGACCTACAGCACTAATACCTCTACAGCACAGTATTATCATGTACACATTTTTATATTAAGATTTTTGAGGAGCATGGATATCTTTTCAATTTAGAGTGGAGTGCTATAAAATTAACTGATGGTGAAAAACTAATAAAAAAATTAATGGGATGTTCATTGCTAAAAGAAAAAAATGTCTTGTATTATATCAGTGCAGTATTTGTAGGTAATGTACAATATGTAGAACAAGTACAATACTTTACTGTATCACCTGGGTGTAGGAACAATGTGAAATTAACACCGTACTGTAGAGTATAAGACATAAAAACCAAAATCTTCAGAAAGACTTACTTTGGATCAGAAATCAGACAACCTTGTACGCCATCAAAGCCAAGGTTATGAGCAGCCATAGCGGCAGCGGCCATGGTGTTAACATTGTTGGGCGCCAGGGAACACAGCCCACGTACTGACCCATCGTACAATGTGACCGCCTCATTACCACATACTTGTGCATTCTTGGCTTTTAAGTCTTCCTCAAGTTTAAAGCAGCTTGGGTGTTTTGTCATTGTAACTTTTAGAGCCTGGAAATACAATGAATATAATGTTAGAGTATGAGGTCTATTTGTTTCAGTGGGAAATATTTACCCAATCATAGTGAGATCACTTACACAGTGACCTTTTCAGTAATAACCCTCTGTCTATTTCACCTTCCCTTCAGTAATTCTTATATTTACCCCACTGAGGGACCCCAAACAGTTTTAGTCATCCTTGTCTTGTCAGTTATCATCACTGGTTGACAACAACACATACCCTTTGTGCAGTACTGTATGACTTTTGATGATGTCACTACTGTATCAACTTGTATTTCTCATTTCCTCATTACTGTATTCACTCTGTTTATATGCTTAATTTCGAGTACATTATGATTACTGTATCTAGAAAATTTTGACCACTTCTTGGCAACTTTAATCAACATGGTCTGAACTTTTTCAGTAGATAATTTGGTACTGTAGGCAGACCCATGAAGAGTTACAAATTCAACCCAAGACAAAATAAGTGAAAGTAAGAGTGTCACAAGACAATATTTATCCAAAAAAATATTTCACAGCATATAGATTTCGAATATGAAAGTTGCAGCTCTTAACTACTGAATTTCGGGTGTTTTACTTGCACAAAATTATTTTTACCCAATCTCATAGTGATTTTACAAGTTTTAGTGATTCTCAGAGTGCTCTTCAGGTCCTATCCAGTGTTTCATCACCCCACCCCTTATTTATAGATATTTTACAGTGGCTGTTTCTTATCCAACGTCGGAGCCAGAAATTCAGTTTTTGGTGGGTTCCGGCCCATTTGGGCAGATGGGAATGAGCGTGCTGATGTTGTGGCGAAAGCAGCTGCTTCTCGCTCTGTGGCATATCATTCCCCTCTACCTGCATTTGATATGAAACCAGTAATTAGAGCTGCCATCTGCTCGAATTGGCGATGCAGGTGGGATGCTGTTGGAACAATCAAGCTCTGCAACATCCACCCTGCATTGGGAGCCTGAGGATATCAGGGCCTGTGAGGTGTTATGGTAAACCGGCTTTTTCAATTCGTATTTTCTGGGGGATATACAGTAGGGTCAGGATATATAGCGACTTTATATAACGATTTTTTTATATTGCGACTACCAAAATTATCGACATTTTCCTATATATAGAGATTTTTTTTCGCAAGGGAAATCGGGCAGGAAATATTTCAAATTTATCACTACTACCAAAATTATCGAAATTTTCCAATATATAGCGATAAATTTAGTTACACTAGACTCACAACTTATGTGGGGTTATGTTCCTGGGACCTCAAATAAAGCCAAAAACAGTATAAAGTCAGAAACACTCCTAAAATCCCCTAAATAGCCCAGAAATATGAGTTGAATTTTTTTCTTTCTTGTACAAAATATGTGATGTCTATACGGTATTCAAATTTTTCACTCTCTTGCAAGGATTCCAGCAATGCAATTTATATTATGCTAACTTTAGACTGTGCCATTTTATGCCAAGTTTAGTCGCTTTTATTGGCCTCCAGAATCTAACCCTATTTTCCCCATTGATTACATGTAATTATTTATCGCGATTTAGTATATAGCGAACATCCTTGGACCCTATCTCATGATATATCCCGACCCTACTGTACGTAACTTTATTTATTTTTACTCATTTACCTGCACACACCATCCTAAATACATATTGTGAAAAAAAGTAAAAAAATAATTGTCTTAAGGGCAAACCTGTACTCAAATGTACTAAGTTAATTATTAAAAAATTTATGTCTAGTGCAAACTATGGGATATTTATATTAAAATTAATCACTATCTTGTAAGAATTCCAGCATTGTAAGTTATATTCTGCTAAGTCAATTCAGTGACATTTTATAAGCGCAAAATTTAAACTCCCTTTATTTGACTGATAACTACTGTAACTACTGTACGCACTCTGTTATCTCCCCGTTGGCTGTCAACACCTCACCTCACCTCCCCCTCCCCTTTCTCCCAGCCAGGGTGAAGGTACTTTTAGGCTTAAAGTTTTTACCTTATAAAATGTCACAGACTAGACTTAGCAGAATATAACTTGCATTGCTGGAATCCTTGTAAGATAGTAATTAATTTGAGTATAAACATCACATAGTTTATACAAGAGATAAAAAATTTTAGTCCTTTAGTGTACAGGTAGTACATTTGGGTACAAACTGTGTACAGTGATATGTTGCTCAAAATTATTGCTTTTTCACATTCAATTTACATTTAATATTTGTTTAATTTAAGTTTCTAGCAGTCCATGGTGCTTTAGAGACACAGGAGGTGTATAATTAGTGGGTCAGAGGTGTATTGTTCAATTATTATTACCTGACCTCGGTTGGTCCGGCAAAACGGATAATCCGGCAAGGTTTTGGAACCAAGGGTGCAAAGTTGAGTTCTGTCTTGTGGAGCTTGGATTTGCAGCCTTTTGTTACTCTCACATGGTCAAAAAAGCACTGAAATACATTGGCATGTGTACCTAAAAGGACTATGTTCAATGCACATTTGTCACATAAGGCCGCAAGTCTCACCCCACGGGACTGCAACCCTTTAACTCACATAACACGTGTCTGGGACACATGGGCCATGATGCATGAAACTCACACACAAAACTTTTACAACAAATATCTTCAAAATAAAACATACCCCACCTCAATATCTTTATTGGTTGTAGAGTAACACGTCGAAAAACTTTAGGGGCTTGTTTCTCGCTTTTTAAAAAATGGCGTTTGCAGCCTTGTGATTCTAAGGCCCTCATATATCTTGCCAGTTTCAACACATCAATCTACAGAGGCTGCCAGATACACTACCCTCTCATTGAATAATATAAAAATAAATGCCAACCATTTCATCTTGATTTTAATGTAATCTCTACCTTCAATCAGTTAGTATCCTCCTGTCTGTACAATACAAACATTCTGTAATAAACATCCTTTTGTTAGGAGAAAAATTCTAGAATGTATGTGAACATATTTCAAAATCAACCTCAAACCTTCAGGGTTCCTCGGTCAGCCATCTTAAGTATGTCTTCAGCTCCCCAAAATGCTCCTGCTGGTATGTACAAGCCATGTGTAGTGGCTGATGCCCGGAGTGAGTCTTCCACTGCCTGGGATGCTAGAGCAGTTGGTGACCCAACCATATAGTCTGCCAAACCCAGGAACATTGGCCCATACTGTGTGAAAAAACATTAATGAATGTTGTAACAGTAGGAACCAACACTATAACTTAGGGAATTAAGACAAGCCCTTGTGACTTTGTCAACTATAATTGTTAGTACAGTACCTTATTTTTATACCGGTAATTATTATTTTTTTTTTTACAAAACTCGCTCATCAGTTGTAACAATATTACTTACTTTGCTGTCACTTGGAATCAAATATGGCGATCATCCAGCTATGATACAATGATGTGAGTTATTAACCCCTACGCCCCGGTTGACGTTCAGGAATGTCCGTCTAGGGCGCCCTGGTTGATGTTCCAGAACACGTGTCTTTTTGCGGCATTGTTTGAATACCCAGCACGGGTTATCAGGTTCCAGTGTGACTATTTGCCTGTCACACAGCACCTCAGCCACAGGGAAGCTTCCTGAATGTAAGTACCCACTTTTGTTTGTTTCATTTTCACTGTTTGTCCATTTTATCATGTATCAAAGTAATATTGCTAAAAGTAGTGTAGTATTACTGCCGTTGGCGATTGTCTGCCTATGCAGTCGGGCTAACTCGAAAGTATTGACACCTTCTTGTGTGGTGCTCCTCCAAGCGTGGAGAAATCGTCTCCGAGGTGAGGGGGTCGATTTGGCACTTTTTCAGGTTTGTCTTAAGACAATCCTTATACCTTTCAGTTGCCCGCCAGCATTATGTTTACTATTCTTTGGGTGACTGTAAAGTAGCTGCTGTAGCAGTCTACTGTTATCCATGTGGGTAACATGGCCAGCCCAGCATAGTTGTTCATGGATAATGGTAGCCTCGATGCTTCTACAGTTGGTGTCAGCAAGAATACTGGCATTTGTTTCCTTGTCTTCCCAGCGAACATGGAGGATGGAACGTAGACTACGTTAGTGAAAATTTTCAAGTGCTTTGATGTGTCTCCTGTGTGTGAACCATGTCTCGCTGCCATATAGCAGGGTGGGGAGGACCAATGCTCGATATATGTGAAAGTTTGAAGATAATTTCAGCTCCCTACAGCTGAAGACACAGTTTCGGAGTCTGCCAAAGGCTTGAGATGCATATCTGATCCAATGCCGAATCTCTTCATCAATGTCTGCGGTGGTGGACAGGTGGGAGCCGAGATACCAAAAGTGGGTAACATTAGAGGGGGGTAGTACCATTAAGCTAGATGGATGGTGGAGGTGTGGCTGAACCAGGAGCAGGCTGAAAGAGAATCTGAGTCTTACATACATTCACTTCAAGGCCGAAGTGTGCATACGCATCTGCGCAGGTGTTTAGGATCTCCTGTAGGCCGCATTCAGTGTGAGCGTCAAGGGTGAGGTTGTCTGCATTCTGAATTTCAGTAATGGAAGCTACTGATACCTTCATTCCTGCCTGGAGTTGTGATATGTTGAAAAGACCCTTCATACGGTACTCGATGTCCACCCTGCCAGTTAAATTAGCGCTGGCACGAGTAAGGAAGGCAGCCAAGAAAATGGAAAAGAGAGTTGGTGCCAGTACATATCGTTGTTTGGATGGGGAAGAAATCAGAATGGGTGCCATTGTGAAGGACACTGCCGTTCATGCCATCGTAGAGTTGCATCACAATGGCGATGAATTTTGGTGGGCAGCCTGTCATGATCGTAATGACGGCTAGCCTGTTAAAACCTAGTGATTCATATTACGCTCCACGCCCACAAAACCTTCTGAGTCTCCCAGTGGAAACATCCTCCGTTTTCTCTGTTTCTTTGACGACGTCATTCAGATGTCGCATTTTTGTGGAACGAGATTCGTAAACTCTTTTGCATCTACCGAGACCTGTAAACCCTTTTTCACCTATGAATATCAGAGACCCTGATACTCATAGTGAAATTGTTGTAAGGATGTTAACTAAGGAATTAGTTAATTTACCTGGAAGAAACCGTGAGACCAGCTTCTTTGTGAATGTCGTCAGACGCTCTTGCTTAGACTCCGCCCTCCGTGATTGCCATCTAGACCCCTTTTGAAATCAATTTAATTCTTGCCTTTGATAGCTCAGTCAGAGCATTGTTTGTGAAGAGAATATTAGTGAATGAAACTGAGTTCGTAGTCTCAGTTTCAAACATCAGAGTACTGTATACAGTAACGTAATACGTGATAGTGAGTAAGTGGCATCTGAACCTAGGGGGCAGTAGGGAGTGAGCCGGGCGCTTTCAAAACCGTTAGTAAGCTCACCCTCATCACCCCACAGGTATGTGTCCACTTTCTCCTCGTGTTGTAACTCGCCATTTTAAGTGATTTGACCTGATTAATAGTTTTACAGTAACTTAGCTGATGTGCTTTGAGTGAAGTATTTTTACGTCCTTAACGTCCTTTTGAAACGTTGATGTTCGTTTTCAACTGTTAGTAAGCCTTGCGATCATCACCCCACAGGTTTCTGTCGGAGTCTCAGCCGTGTGTGTAGCTTCGGGGGACGCCTCCACTAGTTTGAGAGAAGTCTGAAGACCATTAGATTCGGGTAACTCCGTGAATCTCGAGCGTCAAGCACCCACTCCCACCTATGAGCCCCATGGCTAGTCAGCCTAACCCCTAACGCTCCCTGCCCACGTGGACACAGGATCATCCGGCCCAACAAACAAATGCCAGCCCCCATCTTGGTGGATGAGTCCATGACTCAGTAGGGCTATTTGGTGGTTGTGTTATTCCACCGGAATTATCGGAGTTTGTTGGAAGGTGCCACGTGGTGGGAACTATACCATGGCTGGTGCCGCTTGAGTAGTACTCCTGGTGCTGTTGAGTGTTATGTCTGGTTCTGCTTGAGCAGGCAATTGTGGTAACTAGCGTCATTGCCACGGGTTCTAATGGTGGAAGGTGCTGTGAGAGAGTTCATGTGTGTTATTGTGTATGTACACCCAGTCGTGGTGTAAGTAGAAATTGGGCCTGAGGGCCATAGTACAAAGTGAGTTCCTATTTGTGCATTAATATAACGTCATTTTAATAACCATTTTGTGTTTTTGATAAACCATTGTATTTGTATGTTGGGACTATTATTCACCTGCAGTTGTTCACCGTTATTCCTTCCTATTACTTGATACCAAAATTACATGTACCCATGGGCCTATCCTTGAGTCACGCTACCACAGGACAGAGGTTGAAGTATTAAAGTTAAAGTAATGTAGATAAGAGTCCACGCTCTTACAAGCCAAAACAGTTGAGGATCCACGAGAAGGCTTCCACGTTGACCAAGTCAAAGGCTTTGGTTAGGTTGATGAAAGCCATGTACGTACAGGTCACGACGCTGTTCTCTGCACTTTTCCTGTAACTGACAGGCAGCAAAGATCATGTCAGTGGTGCCATGTGATGGTCTAAAGCCACATTGTGATTCTGGAAGGAAGTTTTCCACTTCAGGAAGAAGTCTTTTTAGGAGGACTCGGGTGATAATCTTACCAGCTATGGACAGCAGTGAGATCCCACAGTAGTTGTCACAGTCTCACCGGTCTCCCTTGTTCTTATAAACATTGATGATGGAGGCGTCTTTAAGAGCTTGGGGGATTTCCTCATTTTCCCATATATTCTCCAGGAGAAAGTGGAGATGGCTGGTAAGCAGAGGTCCTCCTGCTTTATACACCTTGGCCGGAATTCCATCAGGCCCTGAGGCTTTGTCATTTTTCATCTGTTTGATGGTAGTAGCTACCTCATCCAGGGATGGAGGATAGCTGAGGTGGGTCAGCTCTGGATGCTGAGGGACCTGCTGGGTAGTCAGGACATCCACATCGGTGTTTCCGTTGAGCAGTGAATGGTAGTTCTATTCCCAGCACTGAAGAAGGCCTACATCGTCTTTAATTATAAAGTTACTGTTGGATGAGTGGAGGGGGGCTGTGCCACCAGTGATTCGCCCATAAAATGTTTTAGTGGAATTGTAAAATTTGCGCATCTTGTGCTGATCTACAATTTTTTGTAATTCACATGCTTTATTTTTAAACCAGTCATTCTTTAGATTACGAAGTTCCCGCTGGGCCGCAGCTTTCTTCTTGCGGAAGGTATCAGCTTTGGTCCAAGACTGAGGGTTGTTCTGCCAGTCAGTTAAAGCAGCACGTTTATCATTAACGAGTACATTGATTTCCGGGTCATTTTCATCAAACCAGTCCTGGTGTATTCTTTCGATCTGGCCGAAGGTCTCTCTGTAGTTTTTTGTCATGACAGTGTCAAGAATATCCCAGTCAGCACTGGGGTTTGGGTTGTTTGTTGTCGGGTTGTTTATCAGCCCATATTCGAGCTGCTCTCTGAAAGCATGTGCTACCGCTGGATCCTCCAGACGCTTAGTGTTAAAACCTCTTCTGGAGGCTTGCTGCCTTTGCCATTTTGGGTCGATATGAAGTGAAAGCTTGGCTCTGACGAGCCGATGATCAGTGTCGCAGTGGTCTGAGTAACGCATGGCACAGGTGATGTGGACATCTCGGTGATCTCTTTCTCTGACAATGATGTAGTCAATGAGATGCCAGTGCTTGGATCGTGGGTGTTGCCATGAACCCGTGAACTTGTCAGCCTGCTATAAGGGCGGGGATTCTACCACTGAACCACCGATGCCACCATTATAAGGGCGGGGATTTTCTTCTCTCCCTTATAGTCTTAATTCATACTTCTTTCTTTGTCTTAGTTCCTTCATTTGTTCTGTCTACTTAGTTCATTTCATAGTTACTTCATCACCTCAGACCTTTGGTAGCATGGTGAGGGTTAGGGCACATGGTTACTGTAATTCTGGTATCAGGTCACTTGGATGAAAATAAAGGTGAATACTGTGGGAAAAGAATACCCCAAATATACTCTAAGAAATGGTTTATTAAAATGAAATTAAATTAGGTAAAAGATGTCATTAACGTACAACTACAAGGTTCAGCTCCTGGGCTTTACTCAACTGCAATTCACTTAGATACTCTTGCTTCTACAACATTACTGGTGGTACATTACATACAGCTACCAGGATCAACTCCTTGGCTTCTCAGCTGCAACTCCAATCAGATACTCTCGCTTCTTACAACATTACTGGTGGTACATTACATTACATACAACTACAAGGATCAAACTTACATATGGCATCTTCACTAGACTGTTGTTAGTACATATGGAAGATGCACTCACAACACAACACGTTATTACTGATACTACAACTTATATGTGGGTTCACTACCCAGCATGGGATAATTATATTCAGTTAATTATCCCCCATCATATACAACAAACACTGTGGACCAAATAACTTCAAGGAGTGTCCCAGGGTAGAACACTGGCGTCTCAACAAATGAAGACCGTTGTTGTGGTCGGTTGTAGTCTGATATGTGGCGAGAGCCTGGGGTCCAGCCCCACGATGCAGATTGGGGCAGTCAATCCTGCCGAATCAGCGACATCGTCCACTACAGCTAACTGTTAGGTATCCACCGACCCCGGGCAGCTGGTGGAGTGTTCAAATAACCCACACTCTGGATCTGAGGTAAATGTGGAGACGTCAAGGGAGAGCTGATGTTGACTCAATCACAAACAATCTTTCGTCTAGCAACGACAGACGACATTTACGTTATAGCAATTCTTACACTGGGTAAATGACAATTTCCCTGTTACAACATAAACACTGATACTCACAAAATTGACTAAGTTAAACTGAATGACTATATCAGCGGGGAACACTGGCTTACATACCTGAGATAAATGTGGAGACATCAGGGGAAGCTGATCCTCCTTCCCGCAAGGGTTTATACACGCCGTGAGTCGCCAGAGGTGGCTACTTACGCAATGACAGAAATTACATTCAAATCAACTGTTACACATTCAAAGGTGACCCTCAGTTGACACGGGTCTGGCGAATTTCTTAAGTTGATTTACATAAACTAATTCAAGATTGAGTTTGCCAGGAGAAAGTGGAATATATACGTTGACAACTGTAGTACAAAATGGGCGGGACTTACGGAGAGGGAAAACGCGTTTCTTCCTAGGGATAACTCACCAGTTATCTACATGTTTTGTGGGCGTGAAGTATAATATGAATCATCAATTTTAAAACAGACCAGCAGTCATTGTAACCATGACACTTCCTAAACAAGGTATTGGTGATAGTGAGGTTGTGTGCAGCACACTTGCTTCGGAGTAGGCCATTGGGATTACACTTGCCTAGTCCATTTCTTCCTATGGTTCCCTGCCAAATGTCAGCATCTCTGCCAACTTTGGCATTGAAGTCGCCAAGAAGCACAATCTGCTATGCTCTGTAGTACAATACTGTTTTAATGAATTATTATTTTCTAACTTTTCACTTATAGGGTATCTGTAATGGTACTGACCTGCTCAGAGATGACAGGATGGGCTACTTCAACAATCAGATCTGGGGAATAGTGACCACAGTCCTCAAGGTTGTGACATATATACCTGTAAAATGGCAACAAAGATATTGGATGAGCTTGGAGACCTTATACAGTGTAGTGCAACATGATGAAAGATAATTTCAGACTTTATACCAGCTAATAAAGCTAATCCTGTATAGTGTAGGGAACCCTACAGAAATTCATGAACATGCACCCTCCTGATCCACGCGCTGATTGGGCATCAGATTTAGCCAACTACGGGGCACTGTTCTTGGTCCCAGCACGCTGAATGGCTATCAGACCAGCTGAGCACAGAATGCCGCTGGACCAATCACAGACCACCACTCGGGTTTAAAAAACACACAGCAGCAATCAACTTCACACACAGACTTGAGAAACGGCTGGAACCACACCGAGACCTGCACCTCTGCCCCCGAGCTACCATGTGGCCATGACCCTGATGTGGGAACGAACCTCCTTGTTCTGACAAAGTTTTTTTACTCCTCAGGGATAAAGGGGGTTATGAAGGTCGTCCGTAGACCGGTGAGCGGTGACCTCATGGTCACCTTCTCCGAATGGGGACAGGCTGAGCAAGCAGCGGACATCGACTTCATCAATGAGGTCCAAATTAGTATTGAAGTCCATGAAGACGACAATCTGGTGATGGGAGTGACCTCACTCGCCGAAATTGAACATCCAGAACAAGACAAGCTGGCCGAACTACTCTGTAAACAGCTTATTGTTTTCAAGAAGGTGACCACTATAACAGCCCTGGTCGGCTATCCCAAGATCCTACCCAAAGAAGTATGACTGGGATGGGAAACCATCCCAGTTAAACTGTATGTTGCCAAGCCTACAAAGTGCTACAAATGTCAATGATACAGACACCCAGCCAAGAAGGTGCCGGGTTTGGGAGGTATGCACACAGTGCAGAACCACTGGGAACAAAGAATTAGAAGAACAGAAGAAACAAGAAGACAAAGAAATAGAGGAAGAGAAAACACATGAAGAAGACGAAGAAAATAAGGAAGTAGTCGAACAAGAAGACCAAGAATAAATTTCTTTTGAGCAACAAGATCAAATGTGGACCGTCCCGAAGAAGAATAAAAAAAAAAATCGAAGAACAGCAAGACTATGGCCGCAATGACTTACGATGTTGACGGCCAGCAAAACAAAACAACCAGCCAACCAGACATCTAATTCACATTCTTCCTCTCCAGCCACAGAAGGAACAACTCCTCTCTCCCAGCACCATATGCAGCTCTCCACCAAGCTATTCCAGACTTAACTACAGCTTTCAGCACTCTGTTGATTATGCTGTAGAATAAACTTTATTTTTGTATGATAGTTTATCTTTCCCCATCTCTCAGTATTTGAGCATCACCAAGTCGCAGTGTGTGTTTATAAAAAGAATAGACAAACACACCACAACAGTGTAGAATTTTGTTAGGGTGATGGTGACAGGTACTCCTCCATGAGGAATTTCCTGGTCCACTGCTGCCCATCACTTCCTACCCTCTTCTCCCAACCTTCACCCACCACTACCTGCTCTCCACCTACTTGTCCTCCAGGTCAGGTTCCAGGATGGTTGTACGGTTCCAGACAAAGGCCAGGTCAAGGTCAGGTCGCTCCAGCACAGCCTTGGTCAAGTATTTCCCTGGAAGGAGAGATTGTGTCTTATCTCACTAATACAAGATCTGTACCAACACCATTACTTCAGTTTCCCAAAATCATAAATAATAGTCTCCAAAGAATTTAGTGATTTTTAGTACATGTCTTTGATAAATTATGATTAATAGTGATAACATGTACTACCTCATATATGCCACTACTATTAATAATAATGAAAATGATCAGTAATAATGTTAGGGGTGCAATGGCTGAGTGTATAATACACTATATATTATACAGTATTACGACCAATTTGAAATTAATGACTTAACTTAATCTGTGGCCAGGCATTTAATGCCATTATGCAAAAAGGCAGTATCATATACTCCACTCAGCTGTTCACTGGTCCCTAGTGTGTGCCTTGGGCACCTTCATTTAACCAGTCCATAAATGGGTACCTAATTTTGCCAATTGCAAAGTGAAGGTTGTCGAGCGCAGTGCCAACCACACTACCTTCACATGTACAGTTACACTCTACTGTGTTTTTCATCTGTAGTGGTCCGCCATGCCTCCATGACACTTAATCTATCTTAACCTAACCTAACCAACAGCCTCCAGTATAATCTTATCATGCAATCCTGTCACCACCTGACGTACAACTGTTATTTCCGGATGTTAGGTTAGCATACAAATTACTGTACAGAATTAACTTCTGCGGTCTTAATATACGTGCTGCTCAAGGTTGTATGTAATGTTCATTTATATTTTTTCACCAATATTGCTTAATATTTTTTGTGACTGAATGTTTTCATATTGTGTTTAGTTATAGGCTGATATGCAAAGGGGAGACTGATTTTTTCTAGAGATATCTGTTGTAGAAATTTGACGAAATGATCAATACTGTGCAGGTAGGGAGTGGTCGGTGGTGGAATTTTCGTCGTGTAAATTAAGGTGAGGTCCAGCTGAGTCAGATCACTGCGGATGGCTGGGTCCTAGGTATGGTGCAGGCAAGGTGCTGACCTCACCTTAATCTACATGATGAAAATTCCACCACTGGCCACTCCCTATCTGCACTTTCTTATACCCAACCTCAGTGTTAAGCAACATTTCTCGGCGTATCTACACCTACTGTACATCTTCTGCATGGCAGTTTGTGAGTTAAATTATTTATGCAATTTATACTTTCTTTCAAGGGGTACTTAATTGCTTGAAACTGGAACAAAAACTATAACGTAATCAGTTAGTTTCTTTATCTTTGTATCAACATCAGTGAGGCTGGTAATCAAATTCTATGTGCACAAAGTGTTTAATATGAACATCAGAAATGCTGTTTTCACACAGACCACCAATACATTTACTTATCACCCTGAATATTGACCGTATTTTTTTAAATGTTCGCTATTTATTTCTCGAAATAACTTACAGCTCAAATACTTGGAACTCCTCTCCCTATCCATTTCCTGGGTTTGCCCAGGCTACACGCCTAGAACATGTAACAATTGCAACAATATTATGGATCCGATGTTCAGAAGTAGTTATATTAATAACCTGTATTTTAATTTTTTTTAATTTCAGTCTTTATCCTCCTATTTTGAGTCGTTCATAAGACCAGCAGGAGGCATCATCTACTACACCCGCCCAGGGCCCTGGGTGTTGTCGATATGCTGCCCCCTCCAGTCACTTAAGATAAAGCATAAATGTAGCACTCAAATACAGTAGTGTAGTGGATTCCTCCCTTACAAACGCCGTGTGTCGCTGACTAGCCGACCCTCATCGAATTCCCCAGCCTGCACCTCGTGGTCAAGGTCGGCAACCAGCGCCGCCTAAAAAAACTGAGGTCAACTATCAAGCCACGCCTACCCCCGCTATATAAGACCTCACCTCGTGGTGACCTGTCTTTCTTTCTACCTACAGCCACCAGCAAGCAACACCTCCTCCTCCTCCGCTCCTGCCTGGTGGCCCTCGCTCCCGCCGGCGACCATGGCGACCCACAAGCCACGTGTCCTCCTCCTCCTCCTCTGAGCACCCTCACCAACCAGCTCTCTCTACATCACACTTGGACTCACGCTGCCACCCCCCAGCACCAAGCTGCATTGTACATCTAATACAATATGTATACAGAGAGCACATTGTGAGTTTCCTTTCTCCATCCCATCCTGAGTGCGAACCAATATCTCATAACCCCACAGTAGCATCAAAATTACAACGAAGCTCTAACTATACAGATGTATGGTTTTCCGGCATCTTCTTGGTGTAGATTAAAATAGTCTTTTTCTTTTCTGTTTTTAATTTCTTTTACTCCCACCCCCCCCCCACCCCCCCATTCTCCGCCCCGTTGGGTCAATGACCTGTGCTTGGATGGGCTATTCCCCGTAAAAACAAAAAATATACAGTTGGGTCAATTGAACCCGCGGAGTACCGCGTAAAACGAGAAACACGTAAATGAAATAACAGAACATATGGGATTAATTGAAATAGAGACTGGGCCGACCCCCAAACTCCACTTTTTCCGACACAATATGTACCTTGTAGTCAAAATAACATCTTAATTTTATGATGGTATGCACGCACAATCAATAATTAAGAGAAATATCAATAATATTAGGTTTTTTAACACTTACAGTGGTCCCTCGGTTAACGAACTCAATCCGTTCCAGCAGGTTGTTCGTTAACCGAAACCATTGTTTCAATGGGTTTTTGGGTAATTGGTTCCAGCTCACCGAAAATTTCCTAAATTCAACAAAAATGGTAGAAAAGTTCACTTACTTTGAGGTGTGTATGTAGAAGGCTCCTGGATGATGATGATGATGATGATGACTATTAGAATGGGGGTGGAGGAGAAGGAAGAAGAGAAGGCATTGGGGTGGAAGAGAAGTCACCCCATGACACCATTTCACCCATAAAATTTTAGTTCTCTTGGTGTATTTCAAGATTATTTTCTTTAAATCAACACTGCACTGCATTATATATTGTCAATATGTAAAATATATTTCAAAATGACCAATAATTTGCTTGGAAACACAGAAAAAAAGCATTTAGTTGAAGAGAGTCTCAAGCAAGATGTTACTTCCAGAGAGAGAGAGACTAACGCCTGTTTGCTGTGTTAAGAGGCTGGATGCGAACTATTCACTTTACCTTCAATTATGTTCATAATTGTTGTTAAATGACTAAAAATTGAATATTAAACTTTTAAAATTATTGAATAGTATAAACTTCTTGATATTTACTAAAATAGTAAGGAATTTAAGCCCTAGAACCGATTAATGTATTGGCGGACTGATACTAAAGCTGGTTGCCTGGCCAGTGCAAGCGAAAACATGTTGAGGTCGGTTCGTAAGAAATTCGTTAACCGAATTTTTGTTCGTTAACCGAATTGAAGATTCTTATGGAAGGCAGTTCGTTAACCGAATTGAAGATTCTTATGGAAGGCAGTTTGTTAACCGAGGCGTTCGGTAACCGAGGGATCACTGTACATTAGTAGAAAAGATGGCTGGGCACACGGAGATGGAGGGTTGGTTCTGAAGCAGAGGGCAGATTATTGGCCCTCACCTGTATCACTTTCCACCACAGAGGCTTGCAGGGCCTTTTTGTCAAACCCCTCAAAGTCCTTATAAGTCCATATCCTCACTATCACTGACTTGGGCCGGCTGTGGTGGGTGGCGGGTGAAGAACTCGGTAATGTTTTGATGACTGGGCGACCTTGTGTGCACCCTACCCTCGCCGCTTCCCGCGTAAATGAGCATTTCAATTCTGGCAAGGCACCGCGTAAATGACAAAAAGCGTAAACCAAAAACGCGTAAATCCAGACTCAACTGTAATAAAAAATACTCAGACATCCTGAATGAACACCACAAACACACACATACTCGTACACTGTCAACTTGCTGACCTCACATTGTTGTGTTACAAAGTGTATTTTATCTTCAGTTTTCTAATTACTTAAAATAATCGGCTACTAATGATAAAAAGTTGTTTATACTGTAATGTTTTTATAAATGAAAATTTTTACTTATCTAGATGGAAGATTCATTACAATCAATTTGTCAATTAACAATTGTTGGGTGAACATATTTGAGTTAAGATAATAAGCTCTAATTTTGATCCTAGTTTTGGATGTTATCTTCGTACTACATGACTTAATTACACAGTAGACTACACACTATCATTCGGGATGTATTTTAAAGGGCATTTCAACTATAACTATAGACATAGCAGTTCCTTTATTATATCAGTTTCTTTAATTGTGTGACGTAACAAGAAGCATACACGGGAACTGAAGTATTTTCGCGCCACCGTTCACCACCTGTGTGCCACGCATTAAGGATAACCAAACTAACTTATACAGTATTTCGCGCATTGTGATACAGTGTTATACTTAGTGACTTCAAATCAGTGTCAGTGAGCTATGACCATGTGTAAAGTGGTATCGGTGGGTGTAGTGTAGTAATCAAGCTGACAGCTTCTGGCATCCAGTGCCTTGGTGCCGCGCAAAGCTTACACCCCGGCCCGGCCATGTGGCCCCCAGCCACATCCTCCCTCCCTCCTCCCTCCCTCCTCTCACTCCGGTAATGGTAGCACTTATCACACGTGTTAATGACTTCATGTGGTGTCTCACGTGACTAAGGTGGTTATACTGGGCTGGTGGGAACAGGAATTTAACAAGTGAGTTGGTGAATATTGTGCGTAACTCCTATCAGTGTCACTCAAGGACACCGCTGGCCTACATATCACCTCTCTGCCCCAGTGTATAAGACCTAGATTCCATTTAAATCTAGCCATGGCAGGAGTCGATGCCGGGCGGCGCTCTGCTGATGTTCCTGACGAAGGAAACAGAGATGATGAGGACAGTCATGGCGACACTGAAGCTGGCTTTCAGAAGTTTAAGACTCGTCAGCAGAAACGCAAAATGGGGACCCAGAGAAGAAAGCAGAGTAGAGCCAATAGGTGCAGCCCTCCCATTGCTCCCCGGGCTAACTACATGCACCTTGCCTTCCCCTAGAACACAACCAATTTGATGAAGATTAAGTGGTTGAGCGCCCTGAATGA